CTTTTCAGATAAAGAAACTTGTTCTTGTTTTAAGTCTATGCCAGGTTCATTCCCCCATAGCCCACAGTTTTCAAAAGCAGAAGAAAAAGTAATCCAGAATTAAAAAAATAAAAACCCCTCTGTTTCCAGAACGAAGTTACCCTGTCAGCTTGCCTTGGGCCTTAGGTGGAGAAGTGGAGATTAAAGAGTCAGTATTCCTTTTCATGTTTCGTCTGCCAGTTTTGTGAATGTAGAAAGAGTACTTGTGGCTTCAGCTAAGTATCCGACTATGGTATTAAGTATGGCATTTTCAACCTCATGCAGTAAATTAAAATTATTCTTGTAAGTTTATCACAAGAAGAATTCAGTATCAATACCATCCAGTCATTGATAAAGGTATTTCAAGGAGAAGGGTGAATAGCACAGCAGATGTAACCTCAATATTTTCACCAATTATAAAGAGTCTCTTTGTGAAGCTGTGTGAATATGTAAGATGATCTCATCATTTCCTATTTACTCAATACTTACCTGAATACGCAATATAGTGTAGCTTTTAAATGCATATGCACATGAGTAAAATGTCCTTTTGTAGGAGACTTTGCTAAAAGGCTGCTTTTGATACACAATTTCTTCATCTCCTCTTCAAACTGAATTAAGCTACTTCCTTCTTTTAAAACACAACTCACTATTTAGAAGCTTTGGCTTTGACTTCTCAGAACAGCCTTACAGGAAGAAACTATGTTCTTTTTCTTTTTGTAACCATATTTCTGAAGACAAACTTGTACTGATTTATTTTGATTTTCTAACAGGAATAGGTTCCTGCAAAGAACACTGACTGTTTCTTCTTCTCCCCCCTCCTTCACTCCACTGCTACAAGAATATTGCTGTGCGCAAAGCTACCAAGGAAAACTGAAATCCCTCTGTTGGGAACTGTGTACATAGCAATATATTCATACTTTGAGAAATAAGCGAGATTTTTTTTTAGTTCTTAGCATGCCATGCTGTGCATTTCTTGCATGCTAACCACTGAATTCAAATTGAGTAACTAGGTAATGTTTCGGCAAATTTTAGTCAAGTTTAGCATCCACCATTTTAGGGAATATATTTGTGCAGCTAACATAAAGGTCACCAGTTTTAAAACATTAACCCTCAGTTATTCTCTTTGATTAAAAAGTTTATAGATATGTGTGTGTATATATATTATATTTGTCATCCTGTTCCTAGTATTTAAGACCTGTTTCGTTATCTTGCTCACAGTTAGACTCATTGTAAAGATGGTTCCTGCTGGCTGTTAAGCTGAAATCCACTCTTAGACAGATTTCTCTGTATTTCCACACAATATGGCTTAGTAACAAGGCCTTTTTTTTTCCTCTTCCTTTTAAACATGTAACTTCCATTAATATTTTTGAGAGTTATACATTGGTTAGCGGAAGAAACTAAGCCTGCAAGAGAAGCCACGTCCCCTGCTTTTCTTACAAATGGACTGATACACCCAGTCCTGCATAATCGTGTGTAACTTCAGGGACATGAGCCATCCCACATGTGACATGTGGTCACAAGTCTCACCTTCCCCCATACTGCATCATCTGCCAGACTGGGTACTCCATGTGTAATAAAAATAGAAATTTAAAACTCTTTGCGTTTCTCAGTGTACAAAAATATAGAGCTGAAACTTGATTCTCAGTAAGAGATTTGCCTTAAGTACAGTCTGAATAAGCTCAGAATGTGGTCCAACATGGCATTACTTTTTCGGAAGTTTATGCTAAGCTGAAATGTGTGGTCTGTTGCTAGTAACAAAACATAACTTCACAAGCAGAGCTTAGGGTGGACTAATTTTTTACATTCATTTCTTCTTCAAATCAGTAACTTTATTAATGGACTCCCTGTACCTGCAAACTGAAGATCCTCAAACTGAAACTGGGCTTTCCTCAGTAAAACTAGGTTATCAGTAAACGAAACAGATTTCCCTTCCTGATGTGTCCTTCTAGTTGCTTGTTTTCTCAAAATTCTCATCTAATGTCTAAGTTTCAGCTTGATGATGCAAACAGTTAAAAAATACCATAAATTAGAAAACATTTCAATTTTTTTTCATTCTTTCTCTTTCATCACGTTGAGAAATTTCTTCCCAAGCTATAGTATGAGCTTTCAGAACTGGCTTGGGGGTGCCTAGTGCACTCTGAAAGGGTGTAAGAACCAGATTTAGCATCACGGCACAGCTAGTCTGCCAGAGAATCTCTTTACAGAGAGAATTTTTATATTGAATCGTGGGACTTCCTTCAGAGCGTGGTCCACAAATCTCTCATATGAAATGTGCTTCAGACAGATACAAGAAGGAAGATCCTGTGTATGTGGTAATATATCTGAGCTGGCCAAACAGAGAGTAGGAATTTGCAGGTAGATGAACTTCATGGAAAGCTCATTTTCAAGGCAGTATTTCAAATATTCTTTGGATGTATAGTAATTTGAGAGTCTGAACTCCCTGACTCTAGATGGTTTGTATGCAACTCTGATGCACTGAATTCTCTTTCTTGAAAAAGCAAGCACCTTTTCCTTCAGAAATAACTTACAAGGTTTTTATTCTCCCCCTTTTTTCTATAGTTCTGAAATGAATTCTCTGTTCAGCTCATGACATAGACTTTTCCAGTGGTGCAACAACCAGTATAAAAGGTACTGAAGGAGGAAGGACTTGTCCAGGATGAAATGGTCTGAAAGAGCTGGAGGATCTGGGTCCTCATAGCTATCACTATGCAGAATTGCAATGTGCTCACTGGCTAGTGACTCATCTGGTACCTTGACTTTCAAATGTGCATGTGGGCAGTTGTGAGGATTCGTCCCTTGGTATTTGTATAGCATGGTGAACTCCTCAGATCAACCTGTTATGAAGAAGATGACAGTATAATTAGTAGATACAAGTGCAGATAGATCTTAGCAGTTTCTGCACGAACCTGTGAGTGAGTGTTCAGTTTTCCAGAAAGGAGCCCATATCACTCCAGACTTCCAGGCATATCAGTTTTACTGTCATCTGTAAGCAGAGTATTTTGAGTGTCCCATTTTACTGAAATGGAAAAGTCTACCATAATCAAAAACTTAGAGCAGTACTTTTCTTCCCTTATTCTTCATAGCTGATGAAGTTGGACTAATTTATGTGAGATTGTTTTCTAAAGTGGCATACAACATTGTTTTGACAGAAATGCTGGGTAGTGAGTTGTTCATATTTTATCTTTATTCTGCTGAGTAATAATGTTTTGAAGCCAATGAATTATCATAGCAGAATATTTAGAGCTTAGAATACAAAAGTAAAAATTTAGGGAAACTTCTGGATTTCTGGTAGAAACAAACCTAGTTACCCAGAGGTTGCTGAAAAACAACAGGACCCAGATCGCAAATATTAGTTCATATTACAGCTGAACCTAACTTGCACTTTGCATTCACTTTACATTGCACTTTTTTGTATGCATTTTTTAATTCTGTAGTTGAAAAAATGGAGAGGGGATTGGGTGATCCCTCCAAGGTAAGAAAGCGTCTGTGTTTGTATGGCTGCCTTTGTAAATATCTTTTTCTGTGGATATCTGTTGTACACGGATTTAGATATAGATACATTCATATGTATAATTAGGGGTATAGACATTTGGTTAACTTGAAAGCTCCAAAGTGTCATTTGTCACATTTATGGTAGGAAGTTTAACTGCCTTAAATACTTATTCTTTTCCAAAGTGACTTTTTTCTTTTCCTCTACAAAAAAAATCAAAATGTACTTCATGAAACTATTGTATATGAAGCACTTATTAGCCGTAATTAAATGGACAATATGAATTTACTACATCTTTAGGACTCTGGCTTGTTCTGGTTTAGAGCAAGATGATTAATGCAAATACATATTACTTGAGATAACCATTTAGCAGCTAATTTAGCCAAATTTATTACAGCAGTTAGAGGTTTTTCATTTTAGCAGACGGAGACAAGGACATGACAAAAGCAGAAGGTGTGTATGAATGCACACTGCCCTCTAGTGCACAAAGCTTTATGGGATTAGTGAGAAATGCAGAGGAGAGTAAGCGCTCCAGTAACAATAGTACCCAGGTTTTGTGTAGTTCAGGTTTTCTTCAAAACCATGCTGCTCCCTTCCACTGAAAGATTTGAATTCAATCCCCTTCTCCTGACACTGAAGCATCAGATACAAACCAAATCCGTTTCAAATTGGAAATATTTTGGCTGAAGTATTACTTTAAACATCTGTATTTTTAAGCCTTTTTGTGGTGAGCATTTAATAACGCTGTTTCACATGACTGATTGCTTGACTTGTTTCTCTGTTTCCTAGCACATTTCAAACATCGAAGAGAGCTGTCACTCTTTGGCTCTAACCAAACCATTCTGTGCCTCCCTTAGGCCTCTTTCTCAGTCTATTGGTGGATTTACTTTGCTCTGGTAGAAAGTAAATTCTCCCAAGGTTTCCCCCCACTGACCAGTGGAGATTTGGTTCATCTAAGAACTGTAAATTCTGTTTGACAAGATCAAAGAAACAGATGTATAAGTTCAGTGGTTGATATCGCCTGCAATAAGGAGAAATGATCAAAGCAGCAGGGGTAGAGTATCTTCCCAAGCCTTTCAAATATCCAGAATCTCAAGGAGGTCTACCTAGGAGCTATGAATAAATCACATATAAATTTGCCTCTTTTTTTTCCCTTTTCTTTTTGTACAGTTTGACACTGAGTCATTGAAAATGTCCACACAGCAATAAGTATTCTATGAACCAAAGAGATTTGTGGTTCTTTTTACTTTTCTTCTTCCACTAGAGTTTCCAAAAACAGATTAAAATTGTACTTTAAAAACTTGTAAAACATACAGCTAGTTATACTGAACTTCAGGTCCTGTTTGTCATTTTGCTGGCATGCTGCATTAAACCTAAAGGGAGCCACATATCTTCTGCTCATACTTGCGGCATGTTGTACAATGAAGATCATTTTACCACAGTTCTAACATGCACTGTATCTTGCTTCTGTCTTGTTTGTATTTTTTCCCAGTGCTGAATAAGGGTCAATGTGTAACAAAGTATTACCGCTGGATGCAGAAGAACGGAGGTTATATCTGGATACAGTCTAGTGCAACCATAGCTGTCAATGCCAAGAACGCAAGTGAGAAGAATATCATTTGGGTCAATTACCTTCTTAGGTAGGTCTTTCAGTCACTTCTTTTACTTGAACTGCTGTCTCTGTTGGTGAGAGTTTTAGGGAACAAACAATTGTCTGCTGGAGAAAGTTAAGGAGAAGAACTTTCATTTGGTCCACCTCAAAAACAGTGCTGTTTGGTTATATTTATTGAGACATCTGTCATGTCTCAGTACACTGGAGTATTTTTGAATTATTATGCTGCCTTAGTCTTCAAATAAACCCTCCACCATTTTATTGCATGCCTCCACTGCCCTGAAATCTACTCAACCTGAGCTCAAAGATAAAAATGATCCACACCAACTGTCAGTAGTTGTGTTACAAAATCTGGTGTGAAGTGTTAGGCACTGGTATATTTGGTTATTGAAAATGCATAGAAGCAAACTTCTGGAATGCCGCAAAATGGTCTCTCTGAAAGGTGTTTGCCAGTTCACTCAAGAGAGAGGAATTTTCTCAGGAGAAAAGCCTTGAACTTGTTGCTCCTGTAACCATCAGACAGTATTCACACTGAAAAATGCAAAATAGGATTTAAAAATAAAAGTAGTAATTAAAACTATTTTAAACTATTAGAACTATTTTAAACAGAAATAGTAGTAAAATTCTGAATTAAAGTCTCTTCTCTGAGAAATTCCTTTTTCCAAGTGTTTTTAAAGGACTGGTTTCTGAGCTCAAGGGAAGACCAATAGTCACTGAGAGACAGTGAATTATAAACCTGACCTTTCTCATCAGAAAATACCTTTCAATGCATTCTGTTTTGTGAAACCGTTCAATAAGATTGGGGGATTTTCTGTTTCATTCCAGAGCAGAACAAACAAACAAATAAAATTTGAAACCTTGAGATTGTCATGAAATGTAATTGTCATTTTCTGGCCTGTTCGCCTTTTAAGTTGCTTGTCATGGTTTGTTACATTCCCTTTGATGCCATGAAAGTTCAAAGGGATGTCTAGGGGTTAGATTGTGACTTATTATGCCAAGTCCAGCAAGCCTTGAAGAGACTGTGCCTGCCTAAACTTGCATATTGAAATACTCTTGATTCCACTTTTGGGGAAGAGGAGGAAGAAACCCCTAGAAAGAGAGCACTGAGGCATACTGTGGGAAACCTTCCACTGCAGTGGAGTGTTAACTGGGGCTTGCATGTTTCTGTCCTCCTATGATTGAGCACGGGCATTTCCAAATACATTCTTATCCTGCTAATCTTTTGTCTCTTTTTACAAGAGTGAGGCAGAATGGAGCATTTAAAGAGGTCAGCTTAAGCCTGCCAGTTCTGAACTGGAAGTACAGCTTCACTGCCCTAGTCCTAACAGGGCTTCAAAAATGCCCAGAAATGTGCCCATATTCCATCTGGAAAAGTGGTCCATAAGAATTATGAACAGTTGCTTCTGTCCCCTTTGCTGCTTTCCACACAACAGATGAGCCTAGTCCACAAATGTCCCACAAGATTATTTTCTCTACCAACAGAATATACCTAACAAAAAAAGAAAAGCAGTGTGGTCTTCCCCAACTCTCCTCCCAGAACTTGGTTTTTCTGCTGCATTCCCTTCACCAGTCTATTAGAGAAAGATTAACTTCTCCACTGAATTTGTATTTTTAATTTAGATTTCTCCTAGTACTGGAATCCACGAAAGATCCAAATGTCCAAATAATATTTTAATGACAGATCAAGGCATAATTAGGTCTACTCTTAGCAGGAGTACTGGTCTGTATACATTTCCATGCATTAGAAAGTATGATTCAGTTGTCTGTAAAAGGATAGACTAATTATAGTGACAGGGAGGATTAATGCTGTTCTTGTTCTAGCAACTTGTTATTCACAGTGTGAAAGCCCTCAAACATCTTTTGCTTGGAGAGGGCAAATTTGGGGACTGCCCTGGGATGCAACAGAATAAAGTCACTTTGTCAGGACAAAACCATAAAGATGATAATCGTAAGAATGGCATTTCAATGTGAACTGTGTGAACTCTGAATTTTCACAGTACACTGTAATAAGCTGAATATGGGCACACTGTCATTGTGCTAGTGTGTCAGTCGCCCCCAGTGCTGCCTCATATTGTTCTACGCAGGACTGCAGATTTTCTGCTCTACCACTGGGCTGGAATTTGAACTGCATAGAAATGCTCACCTATTCAAAAATTATTAAAGACTTTGCTTATTTTCAACATTCCTATGCCACTTATGTCTAGCTGTGTCTGTTCCCCTGCCTTTGCATGGATTTGGGAAAGAAACACATTTTAAAAGGTACAAACCAAGAAGCAGCATAGGGTCGGGGCGGGGGGGGGGGTCAGTTTCTCTGGTAGTGTAGCTTTTTTGCATTGCAGTCATGTTCCTTGCTAACAAGTCACAGGTGAGCACCACATGAGCAGATGAAGATATGATTATAATGGGTGTGTTGACAGTTCTTTATCCCTAACATATGCATCTTAACATGCACATGTGCATCTGTCATATAGTTAGAGTGGTTGCTTTTGGTTTCTTGGTGATGTGGATGCATGTGTGCAGTATTTTAAAAATATATAACCTTTTTTATCTGTTTTTTTAACAAATTCTTTTGAGCAGTGGTCATTTTCTCTAGCCCTAACTGAGCACCTTCTTACTAACTTTATGTATGGTCTGCTTGATTAAAGTGTGGAGAACAGGGATGTTGAGAAAAACAGGTATTGAAAGGGCTCTGGCAAGGTTGATAGAGAACATTGTTACAGAGATAACTCTAATAGACATTGCCAGTGGGAGAGAAACAGATTGGAAAAGTTAAAACACCCTCTCTGTCCTTCCAGGCACAGTAATGGGATCGAAATCAAGATATTTTGCTGTTGGATGATTACACAGTGTAGCTTTACTGTTAGATATCACACAAGGCATGGTGTCCCACTTCAGTAAGAATGCTTTGATAGCTCTAAAACTTCACTAGAATCAAACAAGTTTTAATACCTGGTCAATTTAAGTATTTGACTGCAGTATTAAAATCAACCTTCATAAAGTCCCTGCTGTGAAGCTCTGAGGAGCCAAAAATGTATGTTTCTGTGTTTCCTCGGCTATTCTTCCTATTTATGTTCTTTGTTCTTGAACTTCGATATGAAAAGAGGGAAAACCCACGAAACTGCCAATCATCCAATTGTGTTTATATTTGCTGTCTCCTCTTCAGTAACCCAGAGTACAAGGACACTCCAATGGATATTGCACAACTTCCTCATCTGCCAGAGAAAACCTCGGAATCCTCGGAGACCTCTGACTCTGAATCAGACTCAAAGGACAACTCAGGTAACACACATGGTGTGCCTTTACACTCACAGAGAGCCACATAGTTGGCTTTCCAGTTGCTTTTACTTCTCAAGGATTGTTCCATTATAACAAAACAAAAACATTCTGTAAAATTAAATTGAAAAACACTAGCAAAACCTTTTCATGACCTCAGTGTTTCCACAGTACCCCCACTTCCTCAGTATTTCTCTTCACTCTGTGCATGCATCCCTGCCTACACTGCACTGAACTAAATATTTGATTTTCCAGATAAGCTTCATGAAGAAGTATTACACCTTGTGCAGAGGACCTGGGATTGTAACTGTTGAATATAATTCTAGTTCTTAGCTTTCCAGAGTAGGCATACATTCTGAAGATAAGTCTGTACTGTCAATCTTTATGACCCTTTTTCCTGTATAAATACATTTTTGAAGAGTCTCACTAGGGGGCAGTGAAGATTGCAAAATTTGAGGGTTTTCTTGGGTTAAGAGAATTGTATTTTATTAGAAAGTAAAGGTTCAAGCACTCGTTTCTAAGCTCTTTAAGTCTGGGACTTCATTTGGTTTGTAAAAGCTAAATGTACTTGTCAAACTCAATGTGTAAATTAGTCCTACAGATGGTCCAATGCACAGATGGTTCACGCATTCCCCATTAGTTTTAAAAGTTGTTACCTAGGCACAGGTACAGATCATCTGGCTTTGAAAGGAGCATGGTTTCCTGTGGCCCAAGAACTGTGGATGTTACTCTGCTGTAGTATGCGATATAGATATATATGATTTTTCTCTCATGTCTATGAAAACAGCCCCCAAAAAATGGAGAAAGTGGATCACAGTGACATAAATCAAGCAAAAGCAAGAAGAGGATCAGATCTTAATGTTATATTATATGATAGGCTGTTCTCTTCAATCTTTTGACTTTATTTGTTCGCCTTTGACAGCTTGGTTTGATGGTTTAAGTCAACATGAGGCACACGTACAGGCTTGTTGCCCACCATGGTTGGGAATGTCTTCACCCAATGCTGTCTTTATAGTCAAATAACACACATGTGGAGAACAGTTTGCATTTCCCATGTGCACTGTAAGTTTTTCCAGCTGAGAAGTGCATGTGCATTCATGACTCCTAAGGCTGATGCAGAGCAAGAGAGCATTCTTCAAAGGCGCACAGATATGTACATCTCAGAAGGAGATGTCTGGGAGTCTTGGAAGACAGCAGACTTCTTACAGAAGAATTAAATAGAAATGCCAAAGGACCTGAAAGTGGAACAGCACCTTGGATGAAACCAACAAATTCAGTTTAAGATCTGATAAAATCCCAGGCAAATTTTGTGCAGCTTTAGAATACCTCACCCTAAGTCCACTCTTAACCAGGTGGAAAACCATGTCCTTAAAAGAAAGCATCTTCAAAACAAGAAAAAAAATTGTAGGAGAAATGAAGGTGGAACAAAAAGCTGGATGAGATTTAGGGGTTTGTGGCTGTTACTTTGCTTCTGTGGTTTTTATTTTTCAAAAGGGAGGGTCTCTCTGCTCCCAGTGACTCAAGCAAAAGTCCCGCTAAGTGACTTGTGAAGTGCATTGCCCTGAATCCTCAGGCAGCTTTCCTGTCGAGCCCACCTTCTCCAGCACTTCTGGGAAACTATTTGGTATTGACACGGCTCCAGGAGTAACCAATCTTTAGAGGAAAACTGGCCCTTTCCCTCTCCCCTTAAAGCAAGTATATTGAAAAGGGTAGTACTTGGCTCTGATGAGTGAAAAAACATCTTTTATTTTGCAACAAAAGATTTCTGGCTGGTCTGTAAAAGACGGGGTCTCCTGAAACCTTTCATGACCCTTTCAAACATAGTATGATAATGGAGAGTATTCATTCTCAAAGCTGCTTTGGCTGGCTGAGACCAGTGGGCTAGTGTTTATCTCCTCCATATTAGAATTAGGTAAAAATCTAAAACAAAACGAAATCAATTTAGGCAAGAAGAGTGACAGCTTCTCAGTGCTGTAGCTGGGCTATTTTCAGTGGCCCTGACATGATTTTGATCAATCGAGAGTTTGATTCACTGTCTGAACTTTTTTTTTTTTGTTGTTATTTATTGCCCTTCAGGGGAATTTGAGAAGACAGTCCAGAAACGTAACAAAATTGTTATAACTGGTTTATTCATTCAGATTTATACATGCATGACCTGCTTCTCCTCTCACACGGGAGGAAATCAGCAGTAATTCCACTGAAGTCAGAGACACTATGCCCCTTTGAAAGTGGCAATGGTGAGAGGAAAATAAGATGAGACAATGAGAATCTTCATTAGTAAATAGTGCTACACCTGGATGCCTGCCCACTGCAGGAGAACACGGATGTGAAAGAACAATCACCAGAACGTGATGGTCACAATGGGATTGTTTGTTTACCGACTCTTTGGATGACACAGCCACAATGCCATTGTGCTCACAGTTGTCAAAATGATTCCTGTCCAGCAAGCATATGAAAAGGTCTCCCTCAATCAAGGTGCAGGCCATATAGCATAGGCTTTTAGTGCATTAACAGTGCTGAGAAAAAGAGATTCATGGTGATCAAAACTCTCCCAACACAATGTTGCAAAAAATTGTGGCTCTACAGAAGAGAATGCCTTTTGCCAAAAAAGTTTATAGCAATCAAATCTCGTTGGTAGGTAGAAATGTGGACTTGGGTTATAATATTATGTTCCTGTTGCTAATGGTTTGTTTCACTTTCCTTTTGCTCCAGAGGACAATGAGAACTCAAAGTCAGATGAGAAAGGAAACCAGTCAGAAAACAGTGAAGACCCTGAATCCGACAGGAAAAAGTCAGGAAATCAGTCGGATAACGAAATGAACTGTAATGATGATGGGAACAGCTCCAGCAACCAGGACAGCAGGGACAGTGATGACAGCTTTGAAAACTCTGACTTCGAGAATCAAAAGGCCCCTGAGGACAGTTTTGGCACTCTTGGCTCTATGCAGATCAAGGTGGAGCGCTATGTTGAGAGTGAGTCAGACTTGCGGTTGCAGAACTGTGAATCACTGACCTCGGACAGTGCCAAGGACTCAGACAGTGCAGGGGAAGTCAATGCCCAGTCTTCCAGCAAACATCAAAAGAGGAAGAAGAGGAGAAAAAAGCAAAAGGGAGGCAGCATGACCCGGAGAAGGCTGTCAAGCACCTCAAGTCCAAATGGACTTGATTCAGCTTTGGTGGACCAGCCCCAGCTGCTCTCGTCGCCAAACAGTGCCTCAGTGCTCAAAATTAAAACAGAAATCTCAGAACCTATCAATTTTGATAACGATAGCAGTATTTGGAATTACCCACCCAACAGGGAAATCTCAAGGAATGAATCACCCTACAGTATGACCAAGCCCCCCAGCTCCGAGCACTTCCCTTCCCCCCAAGCCAGCAGTAGTTTACATGTCTCCATTCCAGACTCCGTTCTCACCCCACCAGGGACTGAAAATACTGCCAGCCGTAAAACTCAGTTCAGCACCTCATCCAGCTCGGCCTTGGCTCCTGTGTCCTCTGACCCTTTGTCACCCCCACTTTCAGCATCTCCACGGGACAAACATCCAGGAGGTCCCACAACTTCCAACTCTTTGTTGTACACTGGGGACCTGGAAGCCCTTCAGAGGTTACAAGCAGGCAATGTGGTGCTTCCTTTGGTTCACAGGGTAACAGGAACCCTTGCTGCGACCAGCACTGCTGCTCAGAGGGTCTACACCACTGGCACTATTCGGTATGCTCCAGCTGAAGTTACTTTAGCCATGCAGGGCAACCTCCTCCCCAACACCCATGCTGTTAACTTTGTTGATGTTAACAGCCCCAGCTTTGGGCTGGATCCTAAAACACCGATGGAAATGCTCTACCACCACGTTCACCGACTCAATATGTCGGGACCATTTGGAAGTGCTGTGAGCGGGGCCAGTCTGACCCAAATGCCTGCAGGGAATGTGTTCACAACTGCCGAAGGACTTTTTTCCACTCTTCCATTTCCTGTGTACAGCAATGGCATTCACACTACACAGACTCTGGAACGGAAAGAGGATTGAAATATGACCACATACTGTGTTCAGTGTTATACTCTGAGGCATAGACTATGTTTTAATTTAGACCTTTAATTCTAGCACTTTGAATTTGAGCAGGTCAGCTTATTCTCTCAATATGATGGTCCCCATTTCATTCCCTTTCTCTTTAACTTGACTTATTCTTTAATGTAAAGATATTTTTTTATTTTTGCCTTCAGAGAGTCGAAGTACCAGTTGCCTGCCATTTTGTCTTCTTCTAAGATGTGTGTTTTTTCCTTTGCATCTTTATTAAGATGCCTTTAATATGTGTATGCCTCTGCCATAGAATACTCAGTGTTGTGGTAAAGAGATTTTAAAGTGACAACCATTGGTTTTACTTCAAAATGATCTTGATATGATCAAGATTAAAAGAGACAAGCATAAACAATGTGCCCTGTTTGACTAAGTCAAATGAAAAGGGGTTTTTGTTCCTAATTCCTTTAAAAATAGGGGATAGTATTTTAGAATTTTATGCAGAGTTTAATTCTCTTTTTATGGTTAAGATTTTCTTACTTGCACATAAAATAATTTGGGTTCTTAAAAAGTTAATTTCTGGCCTGTGACTAGAATGTTAAAAAGTTGGACTAAATGTTAATTACTGAAACTTTAACTTAATTTCTAAAACCATGGTGCTATCATTTATTAATCTGTAATGTCTTCATACAATATGCAGCTTGTGGGCTGGGTTTTTTGGAAAGAATGTGTTCCGTACTGGTTTATAGTAGGGTGCTGCAGTCTCCTTGGTTAGTTAAGACAAAAAGCCCTCATTAACATTTGCTGCAGGACTTAAAATTTTTTACCTCCAAACTAACAAGCATAGCCTCACATCAAATTTAAATGGGTCAGGAAGCCTTTTTCAAAAAGTGCTTAAAAACAAAAAACTCAATTTAATTGACGCGAGGAGCAGTTTCTTAGGTGCATATTGTTTTGCTTTATTTTTTTCTCAGTGTAACTGAGGCTAATTTTGCAACGTCAAATAACACTTCGGAGTAAAAAAAAAAAAAAACAAACCAGAAGAACTATTTAACATGTTTTGGTTTTCATTTAATATTATAGAGGGAAGGTTGTACATTTCTTTTTGTTCTCTGATTTGGGTATTTTTTGTTGTTTTTTCCTTATTTCTAGTGTTGAAACCAATATGTTTTAAAACTAAAGAATGGGTTAATAAGCTTGAAATAGATAACTACAACTGAAAACTGCACATTAAGTAAAAGAAAAGAAATCTCCTATTTTGTCTTTGTTGCCAGAAATCACAGTGTAGTGTCAAACACTCCAAATGACTGTCAAATATAAATTCTTCTTCCACTCCATCTTTGGCAGCTGTTTGTTAAGGCATCTAATAACAGATGTGAGAACTGTAATGTGTACAATGTGTAAGTGTCCTTGGCTGTCAGTCCCATTGCAGTTTCAATGTGTGTTACTATATGCAGTATATACTAAGCTAATGTAGTTGTTTTGTCCTTTGTCTTCTCTGTGCTTTATCTCTAGTCCGGAGTGGTAAAGTCCCATTCCTGCAGTCCTAGTGAACCAGTGATTCTTGGGGGTTAGTGGTTTTTGTGTGGTGGCCTTCCTCTGTAATGTCACCTTATGCTGCTTCCACTGTCTGTATACCTTTTAATTTCTGCTGTTGCTTTGCTGTTGTGTATTCTCCGACCTCTCTCCCTCCCTTCCTCTCTCCCCCCTCTCCACACTTTTCCCCTCTCTCTTTCTCTCGCTCTCTCGTTCTCTCTTCTTCACTCTCAGAGATAAAAGACTCTTAACTAGCTCAAGGTTAATGGAGCCATTTTTCCCACAGAGGAATTCTGGGTATGACTTACTCTTCCAGTGTACCCCACAATGCACTCCAGAGTAATGCTCAGATGTATTAAGCAAATTGACGCCATATAGCCTCAGTTGTTAACATTCCCAGAGTCCCTTGTGCTCGAACTGTAAGCAGAGGGTGCATTTCTTTGGTTTTCTCCCAGGTAGGCTGGCCGAGCAATACGTAGAGCGATCGCCAGTGAGATGAGATAGGAAATTCTTTCAAAGGTCGACCAGCATTGTTTAAAAAGGAAACTGAGCTTAGAATTGTCATATATATTTGCTTATGTGTGCGATGCTAATATATTAACTCAGCCGTCCTTTGAATTGTTGATCGCTCACTGTGTCGAGTCAATTCCTGCGGTAGCTTTGAATTTGAGAAGTAGGTCCAAGCCGCGGTGGAGTGATGGTGAGAAAGGAATTGGACGCCACAAATTGACTTAATGAGCTTTTAAAGGTTCCATTGGAAGGATTTAAGTAGGTCTAAAAAAGGCGAGAAAGCTGATTGGGAAATTCAGAGTTTAATTTTGGAAGCTCTACTCTAGCTATGGAACAATCAAAGGAGTGCACCTATCAGCTACAAAGAACAGCTAGACAGCTGTTGTTGTTTTGGGTTTTTTTTATAAATGTTTCTGTGTTGTGTCAAAATGATTTCTGGTGATTTAAACTAACAGATAATCACAGCTGCTGTCTAAATCCATAGTGTTTAAAATTACAAAATGAAAAAAAAACTTCATTACCTGTGAAGACTGTGTCTGTGTTTTTAACTATTTCTTGTACAAATATATGAAATCTTTTATGAGGAGACTGGTGCCAAGTAGCTGAATAATGGGGAAAGGGATTCTGTTCGTATAAATCTTAGCAGTGTTACCAACTCTACAATATAAAAAAAAATTAAAATGTTAAAAAGTGACAGCTATGGTACATTTATTTTGTGTTAAGCTAACCGAATCTAACTTCTTGAGTGCCTGGCTTATTTGAAACATTTTTTTCATTGATCATTGATAATGCTGCAAATCAGAAATGTACATACTTCATTTACAACAGGGTTCTTTTTATACTTTTGTAGATTCTCATACATGTCATACATGGTTGTCTTTATGTAACTTAATTTTTTTTCATCCCGCAGGTGCCATTTTCATAATAAACTTCTCTTGGATTTGTTACTATCTGGCATCATTTCTTTTACATATAACCATCCTGACTAATGAAAGCTGGTAGTATTTGTTTGAGCAGGTATTTTATAACTCTTTTGTTTAAAAAAAAAAAAAAAAAACAAACTGAAAAACAAGAAAAAATAACCAAAAATCAAAGAGGATAAAGCTAGATTTTATTGACGCTTGTGAAATGAAGAAAAGAAGCTGTCAAGATGTAGGTTAAGAATGCTAATCCAAATACTACAACAAACTTGCCACCATCCTGAATTCTCAGCTACCCCAACTCATTGTCATATTGAGCATTTTTATGCACATTATCAAAGCTGAATAATGGACCTGCAACATTAACCACTATAGAAAGTGTGCATTTTTTCTTGATTAATGCACACTGGAAGAGGTCAGCTTTTGTACATTAATCATTTTAAATGCACTTTATATTTTCATTTTTGTATTCTACAATGTTACAGTGAAACTCTTCAGTCACATTATATCCTACCTAGGCTGCTGATTCTTTTAAACGTGTACCTTCTTTCCCCAGAGTGGCAACACGTAAGTTGTTGGTGTCGTGTGGCTAGACTTTCTGCCTTACAAACTGAGGACAGAAGCATTTACCAGTGTAGAAAAGAGAAGGCAAAAAGCCTTGACCTCACAACTGAAGGGGAAAAAAAAGTCCAATACAGTTTTGATTACGCAGACATCCACACACAGTGGTTGACCCTGAAAAGGGAACAGCCATCGGGGATTTCGCCTGCGTAAATCCTGAGAAAAGGCCCAGAGCAAGCATGTTTGGTGTCTGCCATGAAAAGCAGGGAGAAGCTATGCTACGGGAGACGCCGCCCCAGGTACCCATCGCTGTGTGCTGGCTCTGGTGGCGGCTGCTGCACGCCCGAGGAGGGGCTGGATCGTGGCGGGGAGGGGAGCGGGAGCCTTCTCACCCGCCGCTCACGCTCACTTCTTCACTCAATGAGGGAAGTCTCGGCACTTCTGCTTCACTCATCGGCTTTCTTTACGGTGCCTCCCCTGCCTGCGACAAAGATTTCCAGATTCCGTATTTTATTTTGTTATTGCTGAGTATGCAATCCCTAAGAACGCAAATTCAAGACAGTGCTGCCCGTAGCCAAAATTTGTAAACAACTTTGGGTGCCTCAATCTTTTCCCCTCTGTCTGTCTACTTAGAAGTTAAAACTATTGGGCTAGTCATTCTGGATCCGATTTTGGTTGCCTTATTAATGCTGTCTAATCAGTTGCACAGTTTTTGGCACATCTTTTTACAGCAAAGATACACTCAGCTGAAGCAAGAGCATGTGAATCTGGTTTGCTGGGCTGATAAAAAAAAAAAACAAACCACAAAAAACTGTATGCACAGTTATAGCTCAGTGAGCAAGCCCCATGGCTTAATTGAGGTCTGGCTCTTTGAGTTTCTGAGCAGTTCAGCGTTCCCCCTTCCCAGGCTCCAAGCACTGAGTTTGATATGTCTCCAACTTGCAGGGGGTAGAAGGAGCAGAGGTTGGCAGAGCCACTTTCAGCTCTGCTCACGTTCCAGTTGGCAATGCCTCGTGTTTATGAGGTAGCTAAGGGTACGGATACCAACCGAGAGGAAAATGGAATTTAAATGGAGATTGGAAGAATAACCAGAATAAGACTTAATGGAAGAATGACATGCCTGTTCCAAGTAAGTGTTACCCAATATTAACTAAAGCCACTAATCCCAAGAAGGAGCTTGAAGGGGGCATTTCTGTGCTCTTATAAAGGCTTTTTAAACCTCAGCCATACTGCCTATACCTTGCATCAGAGCACGGAGTTGATGATCAAAGTGAATAGATTGCTCTAAGACTTCCAGCTGAATGAGAAAGTTTGTGCATTAAAGAAAATGATGGAAAGACTGTTTCATGGGGTGAGGGAGAGTGATGCTGTTGTATCAATATGGCTCTGGGGAGTGGATCTTGTAAATTATTATTTGTAGCAATTTTAAGAAACAAAAACAACTGCTTGAAAGGGTTGAATCCTTTGAAAAGGATTCTTTGGGGT